TTTTTCGGTTTTTTTGCTCACTAACTCTCAAAACAATCTCCCCCCCCAAAAGTCAGGTCTCTTTTAGAAAAATTTTTTTAATCGGTTTTATAGATGATCGCTCCTTCCCCCCCAATCTTGGCAACCTCGGGACACCCCTGTACTAAATTGACAAGTTTTCGATGATTAATTACAATACTTACCCGGTAGATGGTAAGTATGACATTTTTAGAGGAATTATTTTAATCTTTTTGTCTAGAAAGGATATTTTAGGAAAACATTAAAGAAATTTTAGAAATGAATTTTTTCATTCAAAACCAGAACAAATTATATTACAATGGTATATTTTTAATATGGTCAGTCCACTATTTTAAATGACATCATAGATGAATACAACTTATTCAGATGCATCGAATGATATATAGCAAAACCTGTTTTCATAAGATTTTGAAGGAGTTCGAGTTAATTTACTGGTAAAGGACTACACACTCACACCTAGCCACGATAAGTTATAAAATAGTGTCATGCTTGATATTAGTTAAAAGTATTTATAAAATATTTTTTCTGATATACGATTTCGTAGACTTTTTTTTGCGGACTTCAACTTCATATGCATTGCATTTTCACTCATTTTGTGAATTGGGAATATACAGTTGTCTATCAGTAAATTGACTCTAGTTCCTTCAAAATCTTATAAAAAAAAGATTTTCTACATACTATTTGAAGCGCTAGAAAAAGCTGTAGAACATAATAGATTGTATTTTTCATTTCTGAATAGTTTATTTCATGTACAATAATCATTAAATATCTTAATCAGAGCTTTTGACTTGTTCAAAGTACATTTTTGAAAAAAGAAGCATCATTGTATCTTCCTATCATAATAATTAAACTTCAATATTTTCTTGAAAAGTTCGATTTTCTAAAAGGGACGCTTTTGAATAGTCATATTAAATATAAAAATACATAAAGAAATATTTCATGAAATATGTTCTATTAAAAACGCTTTTCTATTTATATACATATATATTTGATTTGTATAAGCAGACAATATTTATACGAAATAAAAAATGTTTGTTTCTATAGCACAATACCAGTTGATATGTGAAACTCATATATTTCATGTAAGCTAAAATATTTAGCGGTCACAAAACTAATTGCTATGTATTATAATGATAGAAAGAAGTTACAAAATTTCGAGTTAAAATTTAGTCACTATTTTTGGTTGAAAATGTGTCGATTCATTAAAATTTACAATTAGTTTTGTTCATTGATAAGATGCTATTGCAATAATAAATCTACAATACATTTCTGTTACTTTTCATGGTTTTATTTCGTTTACTCTACTTCTAGAAAGCTTTAAGTATTTCTAATTTTCATATCTTTGGATAAATCCTGAGTCATTCTATCAATCTATATAATTTTTATTACATTTGAATCACACCTTCTTGAAGAATATGAACAATACGGAGAATCAATGAATCATAATTTTAATATGCACATATTTCTATTAAGTCATATTATTTATGATTAAAATTGGATTAAATTGTTGACTACGATACTGTTGCCTCATACGAAAAAAAAAACATTGAATAAAATTCACTTGAAGACGAGTAGAAAATTAGTCTTCAATACTAAAATTTGCTACATTTTCACATAGATGAAAAATAAATTTATATTATTTTCTACCAAAAATTACTTCCTCGACTAGACTTAAATCTGTCTAAAATTTATTTAGATCGACATTTTCTAAAATTAAAACATATTTCAACAGTAGGAGTAAACGATATCTTTTTAATGAAAACAAGAAATAATTCAATGAAAAAGTTACATTCATGTAGAAGAAAATATGAATTATCATTACAGTTGAATATAAAAATTTTTAGGTACATAATCAATTATAGTCTTCTATGAAAACACCTTAGACGTGATCTGATACTTATTTCATGAAAAAAAAAGTTATGTTGCATGGTTTACAAAATGTACAGAGTTGGAAATAATATTTTGCTAGGGAAATAACGTTATTATTTCAAATAGAAGACATTATGAATTTTATATCAAATGAAAACTTGTCCAAAAATCGAGTTTATTGATATTAAATAATAAGCATTATGAAAAAATTTTCAAATCGAACATAAAAAAATTTCGAAATTTTATATACTTTTTTTGCTGTTTAAAAGTAAAGTGCGAATTATTGAAAAATCAATTCAAATATTTTTACTGGATATTTTGACATGATTTGATAGAGCTCGTCGAACTGTACAAAACTGTATATATAAAGATATTTTTAAACGGAATTGTTAAGTAAAAATTCACTGAAAACTGTCTAAAGAATGTATCGAAAAATCGGCATTTTTTATACAGTGTCTATAGGAAAAAGTTGGCATTGTTTTATACTAAATTCAGCTATTTTCCATTAGTATCCTTATATAAAATGAATATGTATATATATATATATCGAAGCACCTGAGGAAGTAAAAATAATCATAAGAAAGCAAATTTTATTGAAAATTCGATTGTTTTTTCTTCTATATCAAAAATATAAGTGTTTTTAAAACTTTTTAAAGATTATCCAAATAGTTTTTTGAATCTATTATCATTTCTTAAGGTCTATGTTAAAAATTTTTCATAATTTAAGCTTTTTGTATAAATAGAGTGAAAACAACGTAATTAAGCTGTATGTAACATTAAAAATTTGCCACAAGAAAAACAAATTTTAATTTATCTTTACAACACTTTTACTATCAGTAATACGTTAAAATCTAAACTGAGTTCGTCAGCTGGTAATACGTTTCTTCATATATTTCGATTATGATTTGAGCTTCATTTTCATGTATAAGTAATCTGTAAATCATTTTACAAGATATTTAAGGACTGTTAGATGGTATATCAACAAGGATTAGAAAATCTGAACAAATCTCTTATGAAAACATCGAATATATTCATAGAAGACGAGCAAGATTTAGTCGATTACATAATACTATAAATAATTGAATCTATGTCATCAATTATTAAAGTATCATACTATAGCTAAGGTCCATTGCTAAACTTAAATTATGATTACATTAGGAAAATCGGTTAACTATACTGAAGAGATAAATATATTCGTTTACGCATATATATTATCATTTATTAGTATGATTGCTTAAAATTCACTAATAGAAAGGTTCAAAAAGATTTGCAATAAAAACGAGACGTCGTTATGAATTTACCATCTATTTTTCAAGCTTATGTAGTAAGTAGATGAATTGATTTGGTCAGTTTACAAAATAAACTATCCAAAGACAATCGATTCTTACACAGGATATTGACTTAGTAAGAATCAGCTGGATATTAATTATTCCGATGTGAAAAATATCCCATTGCCTCATCAAAATATAAGGCAAGGTGGAAAAGCTTGTCGAGTCTCAACTTTCGATGAAAAACACTAATGAGTTATTTACTGGAAAACTTTCTCTAAATATATATTCGATTTAAAATAGTTTCTATCGTTGATTTCAAATGTTATATTCATTTTTCTTTAGAATAAAATCATGATCATTGAAATAGCTAAAAATTTTTTTTATACCGAAAAACTAAGAAAAGTCTCTATGCAAAAATATCTAAATCCAATTTCGTCTCGAACATACCATTTATTTTTAAATATTCTTTCACTAATTTAAAGAGAATAAAAACTTTGATAAAACCAATTAACTTCATCTTAGGACTTTCTAATTCTAAATACTTGCATGAGATACATTTTTATTAAATAAACATTTTTCTACTTATGTTCACCTTATAAAACTTAAGTCGATCAACATTTTAATATATTGAAATAGATCAGTTTGTTCAATTTTTAATTCTTTATCTTGTAATATAATTTATAATAAACATCTGAACTATTCATTAACATGAAAACGACTACAAATTGTATAAGACATTTTTTGTTTTTATTTTCACAAAGATATCATACTACTAGAAACTGATATTTACTAAAATTTTCAAAGAAAGGCTATTGAAAGATCAAATTTCATGGTGACCGATATCAGACATTGATGAATGAATGAAAAACTAGATTTTCTTTTATAGAATATTTTCTCTCTCTCTCTCTCTCTGCTAGACGGTTACACGATTTCTCTTTTAGATTTTTGATGTATACTAACTGTGCATGGGCAATACAGGAACATGATCACGTTCGAATTGGTTAATCAATTTCTCTGCTTGCTCAAAGGCAGCTGCACGACTGAAACAATCAACCTAATCAAAACATACATAGCTAATACCTTAAAATTTATAAAACAAAAAGAAAAAAAAAGATGATATTTTATATACCATGGTTGTGTATATTATAGGTGATTTGATTTGAATAGTATTAAAGATTGAACGAGCTACATCAACTAATCCAGAATGTGAACATGCATTTAAAACGCACACATAAGTGAAATCATTGATAAGACTTGTTGGCATTTGTCGAAAAAGTTCTACTGCTTCATTACCCATACCGTTTAAACCATAACAATTAACTAATCAACAAATAATTAATTTCTTTTTTAAAATAATAGATAAAAATAAAACGAACTCATTGCTGTATATCCAATCTGATCGGGTTGAGACATATTTTTAAAAATACGTTTTGCTTCATCAACATATGCACTTTTCCCCTAAATGAGAACAACTGTCAACTAATGAAATTTGATTCATCTCTAAATTAAATTTCATATGTTTTTGAATAGTCAATATGAATATCAAGAATGCATAATATATACATTTACTTAGGTTGTTATATTAATTTTAAATATTTCAGTTTTTTTTTAAAATAAACAATCGAACTATTGATATCAATAATGGTCAAATATGGTAATATTTGTCGCTCTCCAACATGATACATTTAATCATGTTGAAATCATTAAGTTAAATTGATTTAATACTTGTATAACTGTACACATAAATAGACAATATTATATTCAAAACAAATAAATATTATCTCATAATCATTTTTGGAAAAACAAATTGGTTCTAATTTATGATATGACTTAGATAAAAAAAAGTGTAATAAATGAAAGAAAAATGTTTTCAAATAAATATTATTTATCATAATCTTATACAAGAGAGATAACATCTGGTTTTAAGGGGGGGGGGGGCGGGGG